TAATATATATTCAATGCCCTTAATCCTGAAGCTCTCTTCTCTCAGTTGGGTTGACTCAAGGGTGGAAAACATTGGTAATATCCAACCTCCTTTCCAAGAAGCCCTCTGAGATTAAATATTTGGGACTGTCTTCCTGTCTTGATATAGTTGCTTGGTAGTTCCTGCTACAACCCCTCTAACTTCTCAGAGTAAGTAAAATTGGAATTCCTCATCTACCTTGCTTAATAAGGATATTAATTTGAGAGAGAACGTGGTGCTCTCAGTCTGTACACCTTTAAGTTTTTCATATGTCTAAGGAAAATCAATGCCATAATGTCAATGTCACAGTGCTATACACTTATTCAAATGTAATCACTCCCATTGACTTCTGTAGTAATAATTAAACATGTCTTTTTTGACATCCAATACAACCCATGACAAAGAAACTATTCTAAATGTATTTCCCAATGACAAAACAAAAGTTACGTTTTAGATGATTTAAATAAACCTGGAAAGTCTCCCATATATTCTTCTTTCCCACTAGTCAATGAGGATCGATCACTGTCTAGTGAGAACTTCAGGATGTTTTATTCTGCGTATCAGAGAGTTTGCTGTAAGAAAATCTAGGTTGATGAAAATGGCTTAAAAATTCCAGTTTCATCTTCCCTGTTTGCAAGGTGATCTATCTTCAGGGTTAAAAATGAAATGGAATATTGTCCTTTAGTATCATGGCAGAAGCCTGAAAATGAAAGTTCAGGGTGAACCTTCTAAACCACTGCTTTTCCACCCTGGCAGGTGGTACGTGTATGACAGGCTAAAAAGCACTGTAAAATAAAAAGTTTTTTTTTTTTTTTTTTTTTTTTAAGTGTAAACATGTAGTGGTGAGATGAGCTGAAGCAGCAATATCACTGCACTGGGCTGTAGGAGAGTCAGCCAAAGCTACGGTGTTGCCTGGATTCTACCCTTGGCTCCAGCTGACTGGTGCTGGCAGGAGAAGAGTGCAGCAGGACCTGCACCAAAGAGAAAAGGATGAGGAAGGGGGAGAGAGGAGAGGAAAAGAGAGGATATAAAAGGAGGAAATGGGGGAGGGGAGAGAGAAAAAAGACAATGGGAAGAGAAAAGAGGATAGGCTTCTCTAAGACAAGCAGAGGGAGGGAAGGAAATAATAGAACAATGCAAAGATTAATGCAATTTCCCTTTAGAAGTGGGTGTATAGATAATTCTCAACCTACAACCACAACTCAGCCCAAAATGTATGTTGCTGAGTGAGAAATTGGTTAAATGAGTCTTGCCCCATTTTATGACTTTTCTTGCTACATTCGTTTAGTGAATCACTGCCGTTGTTAAATTAGTCACATGATTGTTAAGTGAATCTGACTTCCCCATTGGCTTTGCTAGTCAGAAGGTTGCAGAAGGGGAATCATATAACCCTGAAACAGTGTGACCAGGATAAGTACGATACCAAGCATCCGAATGAAAATCACGTGACTGCCATGGTCGTTAGGGCCAACAATGGTCATAAGTCACTTTTTTCAGTGCTGTTGTAACTTCAGTCACTAAGGGAACTGTTGTAAGTTGAGGACTACCTGTGCTTTATCACTTTTTTTTCCTTTTGGGGGTGGGGTCATCAAGCTTTGGATACCTTACTAGGCAGCTGGTGGTACTCAAATACTGCTGTATCCTAAAAATGATACAAAGAATGCAATATTGACTTCTGTAGGATGGCAGAAGCCTGGAAATGAAACTTTCATCCAAAATGCCATTCACATATTGAGGAAACATCTGCACCAAAGAATCTCCTCAAAGAATTCAGATGTTGGGTCCTCTCCGCATTTCTAACACTGGGGGGCAATGTTAAGAGATAACATATAATCAGAGTTGGAATGGACTTTGTAGGTCATCTAGTCCAACCCCTCACCCAAGCAGGAGACCCTACACCATTTCTGACAAATGGCAGTCCAATGTCTTCTTGAAGGTCGCTTTACAAAAGATAACCTACAGTAAACAAAATAGTTTGGATAATACAAAGGGAATTACTTATCATTCTCTTTGGAATAAGAAATGTATTTGGTTACAATATGATTGAAGTTCAACTTTGTGAATTGAGTGGACCTAACAAAATGCACAAAATGTTCACAGAAGTTTGTTGATCAAGGCCACTTTTATCCCAAAAGAAATTGAGGCACAATTTCCACTTTAAAGGAGCCCCATAGTTCCCTTTTCAGACAACACCCACCAAGCTAAACCTTGTGCTATTTCCTGAATCTTGTAATTTCCCTCCATTTGTTAGAGGGAGCAAAAAGTGGCAAAACCTCAAGTCCTTACTAGTACTCATCAAAGGTAATTATTTCCCATATATAAAGTTTATTTCCATATTTTGCCCCTCTATTTAGGAGATCACATTAAAAAAAAACCAATTTTTGTTTTAGGAGTCCAGTCTCAAGTACTGTTGGTGGACTCCAGAGGAGATGTTTAGAAACTTCAGGATGAACTTTCTAAACATCCAAACTGCGGTTCTCATATTGAGGTAACATCTGCACCAAAGAATCTCTTGGAGAATTAGGAAGATGGGTCATCTCCTCATTTCTGACACTGGGGGGCAATGTTGTTACATGAAATCCCATTGTTTATGCACCTGGTGGGGGTTGGGAAGAGAATTAAAACAAATGTCATTAGATATTGTCTCTCTGTGGAAGCCAGATAATTTTTTTTTTTATTTCTGTAATAATTCACTGAAATGTTCACAAGAAAATTTTACATCTCAGGAGTCCTTAATGTAAAATTTTATAAAAAGATGCAATTTGGTTTTAAAACTTATCTAGGTATTTGAAAACTTTGCTGCAAAGGGAAACAAAATGAGAGGATCCCATTATCATATTCAGTGAACATATAAAACAGTCAAAAAATGATAGACTGGGATGGGCTGCTACCAGTTCCCACCAGTTTGGATGAGTTTTATATCTGGTTCGCTGAACTGGTAGTTGCAACAATTGGCTGGCCCCGCCCACCACACCCTGCCCCACCCAGGAATCTCCACATGGCCTATTTTGGATCCCAGGTAAGTGCGGTGCCTGCATGGAGGCTTAAGGAAACAAAAAACAGGCCTCCTGCAGGCTCTGGAAGCCTGGAAATGGGCTCGTTTCTGGCCTTCAGAGAGCCTCCAGAGTCTGGGGAGGGTGAAAAATGCCCCCCCGCCATGGCGCAGGAGGCTGACTAGGCCACACCCACCATGGCCAGGCCCACCCAGCAACTGGGCAGAGAACCTTTTGCTAAATTTTTTGAAGCCCACCCCTGATTATAGTTACAAATACATACTACAGACCAGAAGATTTTAAAGTTTCCCTCAATGGAACTCAAACGAACTTCACTTCTTGACCTAGTATAATCCTTCCTAGGAAGTCATGTCTGAGTTTACAACAGAAAACCTAGAGCAAACAGAATCTTTTGGAAAATTCAAATATAATTATGTATCTTTCTGTTAGAATTGAGAGACTGCAGGGGATGACAGAGAATGAGGTGGCTGGATCGAGTCACTGAAGAAGTCGGTGTGAGCTTAAATGAACTCTGAGGAATGGTAGAGAACAGGAATGCCTGGAGTAAAATTGTCCATGTGGTCATGATGGATTGGAACGACATTCCGACTAACAACAACAACAAATTTGGTTACAATATTAACTTTGTGAATTCAGTGGACCCAACTTGCCTAGCTGAAAAAGGGTTCCTTGTAGAGAACTGGAATTTTCCATAAAATGAATCATGGTTTAAGAAGCAATCTGATAGCAATCTTTATTCTTTGTTACATAAAATCATTTTGAAATGTGGTGAAAAATTTCAAACATTTTTTTTTCCCTAGTTGACGTACAGTAAGCAGGACTTTTCTCCTTTTAACTCAAGGGGAAAAATGTGTCCAAAACTTTTCTTAGGAGTAGAATGTTCATTGCAAAATATAGGTGTAAATTATGTTCACCAAAATGTCTTTTATCACAACAGATATGTAAATCGAGGCGTGATTTCCCCTTTAAAGGAGCCTCATTGGTTTCTTCCTTCAGACACAACCCTGGGACATAAACCTTGTGCTATTTCCTGAATCCTCTCTGGTCAATTCCCTCCACTCATTAGAGTGAACAAAAAATGTGGCTAAACCTTGTGTCCTTACTAGTACTCCTGAAAGGTAATTATTATCCCTATGTGAAGTGTCATTCCATGTTCTGCTCCTGTATGCAGGAGATTTCATTAAAAAAACACACCAATCCTTTTCTTTTTAGGAGTCCAATCTCAAGTCCAGTTGGTGGAGTCTGGAGGGGATGCGAGAAGGCCTGGAGAGTCCCTCCGTCTCTCTTGCCAAGGATCTGGGTTCACCTTTGGAAGCTATGACATGAACTGGGTGAGACAGGCTCCTGGAAAAGGTCTGGAATGGGTTGCACGCATCTATACTGATTCCAGTGGAAAGTTCTACTCAGACAAAGTCAAGGGGCGCTTCACCATCTCCAGGGACAATGCCAAAAGCCAGCTGTATCTGCAAATGAACAGCCTCAAGCCAGAGGACACAGCAGTCTATTACTGTGTGAGAGACACAGTGAGAGGAAGTGAATCTGATGCCAGACAAAAACCTTCCTTTCTTCAGAGGAGCTCTTCAACTTGTCTAAGCTGCAAATCCTGGGTTATCAATGATCATTGTCTAGTGAGAACTTCAAGAAGCTTGGGTGTAGGTATTAAAAAGTTTTCTGTAAGAAAATAAAAAAAATCCACGTCTACCAGCTGATCTGATTTCATTGGAATGGAATGTAGTCATTTAGTGTCCTGGCAGAAGGGTGAAAAGGAATTATCCTTCTAAATATCCAAACTGGCAAACACACGCTGGGGAAATATCTGCTCTGAACAAATCTCCTTGGAGAATTAAGATAATGAGTCCTTGCTTCACTTTTAACTCTGGAAGCCATGTTGTCATAAAAAATCCTATGGCCCATTCAGTTGGAAGGGATGGACTAGGGAATAAAATAGGTTTAAGTATAAATTGTCATTTTGGGGAATGTGATTTTTTTTCCATAAAAATTCACAAAATATATATGAGGAAAATTTCCCATCTCAGGGGGGTACAGAGCTGACCAGGAGGCTGTATTTGTTTAATAAAACAACGTATAATGTTTGTTTGTCACCAGACAAACTTTCTAGGCATTTCATTGCTGGAATTGAAAAAAAAAAAGTATATGAAGGGATTATATTATCATATTTAGTGAACATGTAAAACAGTCAAAGCATTATGGATGCAAATATGTACACTAATCCAGAAAACATTGGAGTTCCACTCAAGGGATCTCAAAATAATTGAATTTTTCAAAACACTAAAATCCTTACTGGGAAGCCCTATCTGGCTTTGCAACTAGTAACCCACAGTAAATGAAATATTTTGGATAATACAAAGAGAATTATTTATGATGCTCTTTGTAATAAGGGAGTGTTTTTTGGCTACTATATGAATTGAGTTCAACTTTGTGAATTGAGTGGACCTAACTAGTCTAGCTGAAAATGTGTTACTTGTGGTTCAACCACCATTTAATCTATTTGGGATTTCCTTTTAGTTACTGCATAGTAAATTTGCTCTTTTGACTATCAATCCACAGAAAAATAAATGGCTCACAATCCTTTTCATGGGACTGCACTGTTAATTACAAAATGGACAGAGAAGCCATGTTAATAGGACTGTGTTGGTCATGAGCTTTTTATCCCAACAGATATGTAAATCAAGGCACAATTTCCCCTTTAAAGAAGCCCCATGGTTTCCCTTTTCAGACAACACCCACCAACCTAAACCTTGTGCTGTTTACTGAATTCTCACTTGTCAATTCCTTCCACTCATTAGAGGGAACAAAAATGTGGCTAAACCTTGTGTCCTTACTAGTAGTTCTCAAAGGTAATTATTTTCCCCCATATAAAGTGTATTTCCACATTTTGCTCCTGTGTGCAGGAGATCTCATTAAAAAAAAAAACTATTTTCTTTTTAGGAGTCCAGTCTCAAGTCCAGTTGGTGGAGTCTGGAGGGGATGTGAGAAGACCTGGAGAGTCCCTCCGTCTCTCCTGCCAAGCCTCTGGATTCACCTTCAGCAGCTATGGCATGAACTGGGTGAGACAGGCTCCAGGGAAAGGACTGGAATGGGTGACATACATCAGCTACAGTTCTGGTACTATTCACTACTCAGACAAAGTCAAGGGGCGCTTCACCGTCTCCAGGGACAATGCCAAAAGCCAGCTGTATCTGCAAATGAACAGCCTTAAACCAGAGGACTCGGCAATCTATTACTGTGCAAGAGACACAGTGAG